ATCACTTTGTTCTGAGCAGCAGGTGTCAGTATCCATTCACTCATCCTGCTCATGTTAAGTGATAAGCTTGGGGAAGACTTTAGGACTTCTACTCAAGGAATTTACTGTCTGGTGGGAGAGACCAATGCAAAGAAACATATTAATGCAGGTTGGGGAGAGGGCTAAGAAGGAAACAAGGTATGGTGAGAGAGACCACACAGCCAGGTGGAGATGAGGGAAACTGACTTTAGAATGGATGGTGTGGAATGTTTCTCTGAGGAGGTGACATTTAAATTGGTAGCAGATGGTTAAGGAGGTAGCCAAGCCAAGAGTGGGGAGAAAGATTCCAGGCAGAGGGCACAGCAAGTGTGAAGATGCCGAGGCAGCAAAGAGTTTGCTTGGCACAACCCAGGGACCAAATGGTGTAGCTCTAACCTAAGAGGGTTGGGACAGCGGTGTGAGGAGGCAGGCCTCCGTGTAGGTACTAGTACCATCCTTTGCATTTCTTCCCGTGTTCCCCCTCATTAGAGGGGCTCCTCTCCCTGTTCCCAGTGCAGAAAAGACACCTGGTTGCCATAAGACGCATTCAACAAGTGCCTGTGAGCTGCACTTCCTCAGAGATGGGGGCACTTCTTGCTCTCCCATGCCTGTGTCCCCACAGCAAGTCCCCAGTTGGCTCGCCTAACTGAGCACATGGGACTGGTTAACCACAAGACTGGTGGTAGAAACGGAGGATGAAATGGGAGCAGCTGTGAGAGCTACAGTTACATCCTTGGCAAATGCCACTGACAGCACAGTTGGCAGATGTGGCCACCACATGGTCCTTGGAGACCAGATTCTCGGGGTAAATTTCAATCAGATGGCAACTCTGGTACAAGAGGGCCTGCCAAAATTACGAGCCTCAAGATTGAAAGGATCAGGCTGAAGTTCTAAACACAGTTTCCAAGGTTTGAGTAGTTCCTTGATTTTTCTTAATAATCCAGAAGATGAGAAGACTACTTGGTGAGTCAGCTGCCCCGCCCTGTACTGCCCCTGATGAATTAGCCCCTGACCCAACCCAGAATTCGAGCATTTTCAAGAACACACCGTTCTTTAAATCACACTTTGAACTCTGCTTTCTGAATAATGGACTTTGAATTACTCTAAACGAATCATTATTTAGGCTAAATCAAGCCATGATTTTCAATTCTTGAAAGGAAAGGGAGTATAGGGGGCTTCTGAGCACTTACACATTCTTGAGGGCATCTCATGAGGAAACATCATTAGGAATTTTTTGTCTAAGTCACACAGGCTGCTGTCTTCTTTGTGCTCGTTAAATTTCTTGCAAGTATTTTTTAAGTCTAGTACACCTACTCCTCACTTATCGACTATCTTGTTATTGACATTTCGCATTTATGACAATAGTGAAAAATCTACTATCCAACTATTTTGCACATTAACGATGTACGTCTGGCAGTATCCCATACTGAGTTGAGAAGCAAGAGTAATGCTGGCTGTGATGGTCAAGGTTATGTGTCCACCTGGCTGGGCCATGATTCTCAGAGGTTTGGCAGTTAGGTAGTGATACAGTCATCCTCCATTATTGCAAAATGCAGATTTTTGCTTAACAACCTTGTCTTTGGAACCTAACCATGTTGATAAGGATGGGTGTATTACAGTCTTTTCTACAATAATTCTCCATGCTTCCCTCTACTGAAGGTAAAGGAGGACTACAGATACCTTCTTGTGAAATTCCACTTTTCTGTCGTACAAAAGCAAAACCCACTGCCAACAAGTTCACTCCAACTCACAGCAACACTAGAGGACTTAGCAGATCTGTCTCACAGGATTTCCAAAGCTGTAACTCTTTATGGAAGCAGACTGCCACATCTTTCTTCCATCGAATGGCTGACAGGTATGAACCACCTACTTTCTGGTTAGCAGCCAAGTGTTTTAACCATTGCACCGGCAGGGTTCCTTTGCTACACGAGGCCTTTGCAAATTCCTTCCCCTTCTCTCTTGCTCAGCTAACTCATCCTTATCCTCTAGCCAAACCCACTGCCATCAAGTCAATTGGAACTCACAGTGACCCTCATTGGGTTTCCAAGGCAGTAAATCTTTATGGAAATAGATTGCCCCATCCTCCTCCCATGGAGTGGCTGGTGGGTTTGAACTGCCAACTTTCTGGTTAGCAGTTATATGCCTTAGGGGCTGCGCCACCAGAGCTCCTTAGATTACACTGTAAATGCCATTTCTTCAGAAAGCCCACCCTTTACCCATGCACTCCACTCAAAATAAGGAGCTCTGGTAGCATAGTGGCTAAGGCACTTGACTGCTAACCAGAAGGCAGTCGGTTCAAACCCACCAGCCACTCCTTGGAAGGAAGATGGGGCAATCTACTTCCGTAGTGATACTGCCTCAGAAACCCAAGGAGGGGTCGCTATGAGTCAGGTCCAACTTGACGGCACATAACAACAAAAAACTCTCTCATAACATCTTTCATGGCACTTGTCACAACTTGTAATTATGTATTTGTGTGCATTTGGTTAATCCCTTCCCTTATTAAAGTATAAGGTCCATGAGGGCAAGGACCATGTCTGTATTGCTCCTATCTATATATGCAGCGGCGAGAACAGCTTGGCACACAGCAGGTACTCAATAAATAAATAATAAATGGTTAGCATCTTTTCCATAGAGGCCTGGGATTTTTCTGGGTATGGTAAGATCAGGACTGGCTTCTAGTAGGATCCCAGTTGTTCATGGTGTCATCTCAACACAAGGCCTCATCACAGCAACAACCACATTTTTAAATGTCTGCTCTGGGCCACCTAGTGTGCTTGTTGCTTTAAATGTTTCTAATATGCACAATGGCACTTACAAGGTGAAGACTGCCACTTTATTTTACAGACAATGACCCCAAGGCTCAAAGAGGTAAATTAAATTCCTCAAAGTCACACAGCTCAGTAAGCAGTGGCAGAACCAGAAATCAAACTCAGTTCAGAGTCCAGAATCTGAGTTCTTTCTCCTCAGCCCCTACTTGCCAAGTGCGGGCACAACCCCCTCAGGTAAGCTTCCAGCAGACCCGGGCCCAAGAACCACAAGATAAATATGTAGCCCATTTTTGGTGGGTTTTTTTTTTTTTTTTTTCTTTTTCCATAATGGTAAGCAGGAGAGCTCTGGTAGCACAGTGCTAAGGCACCTGATTGCTAACCAGAAGGCTGGCGGGTCAAACCCACCAGCTACTCCTCGGAAAGAAGGTTGAACAGTCTACTTCCGTAGAGATACTTCCTCAGAAACCCAAGGAGGGGTCGTTATGAGTCAGATTTGACTTGATGACAGTGAGTAATGGCAAGTAACAAACTTTTTTTTTTCAAGATACTTTGCAGTAAATATACAATAAATTTAAAAGAATTTTTAAAATACAAAAGTTCAAAGAAACTTCATGCCCATTGCCCAGGCCTCAGTCTCAGGAACCATACAGGGAAGCATGAGAAGCGACTATTTGTCAGTCTCCCTCTCTTCACTTTAGGTCCCCTTTCCTTGTTGCTACGTTTTTTAAAATGCCAGCATTTCAACTCAGCCTTCATCTTTGTACTCCCACACTTCTCTCATTAGACAAATTAAAACGCTTAAAGAAAGTGGCAGTGTGTCAGCCACAGGCATGTCATTTTCAAAAGCATTAGTCATTTATGAGGACACCTTTTAGTAGGTACAATAAATCTGATTGATTTTTATTACACATCTTAGTTTAGAATCACTTTTACATTCCTAGACAAAGAGATGATACAAATAAATATCAATTGTAAAACTTACAGCTCCAAGTATTGGCATATTCTTTGTCTAAAAGTAGCCAAAGAGAAGGTCAAGATCAATAATAACTCCAAGGAGCCAAAAAGACCACCATCCCCTGCCTGCCCCAGTATCACTCCTTTCATAACGTTGTCAAAAGCATTTCATTCCAGAAACAAGGGCGGGGAGAAAGGTGGTAGAGTTCTGAACAGTACAAGCAAAGTCTTGCACAACAGACAATAGCCAGGCCCACTGTTCTTACCCAGTTCCCTCTAAGCATTTTTATTATGGCTTTCAGAACATATTAACAGCCTCATTTTCGTCCACTGATAGTGTCTAGACGGTCCAAGGTGGTGTTCTCAGTAAGCCTTGAGCTCATGTGGGAAACACGAGGCAGAACTGGTATCCTTTGTTCGCAGGGAATGGACACTTCTCAGAAACTTGGCAAAGATTCTACATTCAGTGAGGGAGGACTTCCAAAAGCCAGACAGGAAGAGCAGAGAGAGGCCCGTGCCTGACTGCAGAGCTCTCTGGCGCCCATGGTCATGGAGGTGTGGGTAGAGCTATTCAAGCAGCATGCAGGCGTTTGACGGGAAACAATCCAAGGTTAGGTCAGAGTCTTAAGAAAGTGCTTCACGCCTATGATTGTGGCCTCGGGTTCTGAATCCAGGGGTCTGAGAAACTTTAAAATATGAAGCCACGTATGTTCCTAGTGATCGGAGCCAACAGGGGTCTGCTGAGGGTTGCACATTCTCACACCTTCTCCCAGAGGATCTTAGATTCTGTAGACTTGCTTCTAGACCCCACTAGCCGTTGTTGGTAGGAAGGCTCTTAGATGGCTTGGAACATTCTAGCACGACTAAAGACTTCAATGAAAACCTGGCCTCTTAGTGGGCGCTGTAGGTCCTCTACACATTCGGCTCAATTCAGAACCCAAAGCAGCAGCTTTCTGGCAGCAGCAAGACATTCTACCATCTCCTCTATTCAAATATTTATTGGATCCATTTTGAAAGAAGAAAAGCACCAGGGACTGATTGGGAGGGGCAGCTGTACTTGCCTCAGGGGTTTCCTTTCACTGTGTTTCCATGGACCATCAGGAGATGAGCACAGCTAAGTACCAGGTAAGCTTGTTTTTATAATCCTGCCTGTCAATTTGGCTTCCTTTTCTTGCCTTCTTAAAAAGTTCAATGTTATCATACAACCACCTTTGGTCAGCACAGCCACCTCGTGACATCAGTACTAAGGCATAGTGCTATCTGCCATTATCAATTGTCAGACTTGCTAGAACAAATATCTTCAACCTACAGAATGAAGACTAGCTTTGAGGAAATGGGGTGAGAGACCCCATAACTCCGCAGATAACCATCTTGGGCTATACATCTTATCATCTGGTTCCTACTTAAATAGGCAAATTATCAGTAAATAAACAAGAAGCCAGGTTTGACCCCAAGGAAAGATGAGGGGAGGCTCTATTATGCTCTGGGAACTGCTACAAAGGGCCCTGGGTTCAGAAAGAACGGTCACTATAAAGGAGATGGGCTGCCGGATGACAGAACTCCATTTTGCAGAATGCATAAGACATTGCACTTGGTACCTCTTCTTTCCCATGGGTTCTGATCCAGACATGTGCCCTGGGAACCGAGCAGCTGAGTTGAAATACAACCCAAGGCCCACCTGGGTCGCCACTTTCCTGAGGCACCATGCCAGCAAGGTGCACCAGTGTGGCAGACTTAGGGATTCATACTACACTTCCCCTCAGGCTTGGCTCGTGGACTCCACACCCACATGGGAGCACTTCCAGCCTGGATTAGTCAGTCATTCAACGGGCCTTTAACATAGACAACAGGCAACAGCCACACATTAATGTATTTCTAAACCTGGGCAAGTTCTTGGTCTCTTTCTCTTTCTCACGGACACACACAGACACTCTCACAGAATACAGGCATCCTTGTGCTTGCACACTCACACACACTAGTGAGCTTCTCTCGGGGGGAAAAGTAAGTAACATCCACCAAATGGCCAACATAAAACAAAGCTTTGAATCTCAATAATACAAAGAACTAAAACTTACAAAACCAACAGTATATGTAAACGGGAATTCCTACCTCTCCTCTGAGCCTATTCTATCATGCAGCTGCACCTTGCCACCATCTCAGGCTCTGCCTGCGGGGAGCCCAGAGTTCTCGCGTGGCTGGTTCTCTGCTGCAGGCAGGCAGGAGGTCTTGGCTTCCATCTGCTGTCTCTCCTTCCCATGGCACTGAGTCTCTCATGTCTCTTTATCTCTGCGTCTACCTAGTCACCCTCATGCTTGCCATTCTGATATGGAACAAAATGGGAACTTCAAAAGCGCCACTGTACCTCTCTTCCTCCAACTCTAGTTTGGTCAGAGAAGGCAGAGCCAGCCTCCCTTCTCCCTCAAGACAGGCCCAGGACAGAGCAGCGGGGAGCCCAGGCAGATGCTCAGAGCATGTGTCCACGGGAATAGATGGTGCTGAACGAAGAGTGAAGCGACACGGTGTCTGGACATGGCATCAGCTTACAGACGTAGGTCTTTGACAGGACAGTCTTGGTTCTGAAGTGTTAAAGAAGCCATTTTCCTAAACTCTCCCCAGAGACAAAGGGAAAGTTATTTCCAGTGCTTCCAATATTGCATCCTTCAGAAGCAGAAACCAGCAGCTTCCTGGGAAAACATTTCCTCATTCAGCAGATCCCAAAGGCAGATCTACTTCTTACTAAGGTGCACGGAAGCAAGATCGCTGATCATGCCCATCTGGGGCCTGGATCCAAATGAGATTTCTCATTCCTTCCTAAAAGAACAAGCACCCATTCAAATTCTAGGGCTTTCACTTTTCAACCTCACTGTCATTTTATCCTGAGGCTCCAAAGACTTCAAGGTGACTCCTGATTCTGCCCTATTGTTCAACAAGAAGGGAGCCCAGTGCAGAGAACAGGCTAGAAAAGCAGAGAAAGAAGGAAAGGCAGAGGGCAGGGGAGGAGGAGGAGAAGGGGAGGGAGAAGAGAAGCAAGGGCCCTGGTCATTCTCTTGCTCTCCACTTGGCCCACCACACTTTACCTTACCCCCCGCATTTCCAAGATGCTCATGAAGCGGTTTCCCAGAGGAGCTCAGTGCCAGAATAGGACCAGCACGCTTTGACCAGACCGAGTTGGTTAATCTGCAAAGAGGTCATTGCTTCTCAGGGGAATGGTTTTGAGTCTGGGCTCAAGTCGTCTCTGCAGGCTTTTGCGCGTCTCTTCTCTCAGAAGGCAAATGATGTTTATGCCCTGGGAGAGGAGGAACTGGCTTTACTTTGGAACCAGCCCCCGAGACTGTGGATAAAGCTGAGATGCAGGGGTTCCCGAGGAAGACGAGGAGGATCCTGACTTCCTTCCACTTTTAGGCCTGCAAAAGTCAAACACATGCTTACATTACACGTCCCTATCTTTGTTCGTAACCAAGATCAGACTCTTCCCTTCGAGTGTCATTAACCCTTCACAGACCTTTCCTCAATGGCCTTTCAACTGGAAAAGCCCTAGATGAGCACAGCCTGACCCTCTGGGCACAGCCAACACAGCCTGCCAAGAGGAGTGTGAAACCTCAGGGCAGACACCACGATGCTCAGCTCCTGTTCTTCTGTTAAAATCAAATCTTTACATCTTCTTGAAATTGGTTTTTTTAAAAAAATCAAGCTTGCAGGTAGAATTCCTTCCATTTTGGGCTTCCCACCCAGGTGTTTTTCTTAAATCCTTATTAAATCCATAAGTTAAAAAGACAAGGTTTCTAATTGAGCACCAAGTTAATACTTCGTTATTTTAATAAACCAGAAAGAACCAAACCCACTGCCATCATGTCGATTCTGACTCACAGTAACTCCCACTGGGTTTCCAAGGTGGTAAATCCTTGTGGAAGTAGATTGCCTCATATACCTTCTGCATAGTGTCTGATGGGTTTGAACCACCAACCTTCTCATCAGCAGTCAAATGCCTTTGGCACTGTGCTATCAGAGCTCCTTTGGTTATTTTAATGGGTGAGGTAAATTCAACACAGAGGCTCAGAAGTTGTGGATTTAGTCAGACTCAGGTTTGAATCCTGGGTCTGCTAGCTGGGTTTCCCTGGACCCAACTAGTTTCTCAAATTCTCTAAATCTTAGTTTTCTCATCTGTAATCATCTGGGATTAATGATAATATTCACTTTATAAGTTTTTGCAGGAAATCATTCAGAGAATTCTTTTAAAAGACTCAGAACTGCCTAGTACCTGGTGGACAGGCACCCAGATTCCACTAGACCACATGCTCCTCATAAGCAGGAACTGGGTGCCTTAGGTATTCTGATGTTCAGTATACCTGCGATAGTGCATGAACCATAAATATTTGTGGAATAAATGAATAAACATACGAGTAATACAGCAACATTTCCTGGTGTGTTCTGCAGTGTCTCACGATAAACAAGCACTCTTGGCACACTCTACTTTCTTTAGTTTTTGTTCAAACATGGGTCATCAAAAACCACTCACCTGGCCTTGGATTTCTTATTTGCAGTGCTTTCAAAGGAAGATGCGTCCACCTGTATCTCATCCTCATCCTGCAAAGCTGCATCTAACGCGGCCTGGACTTTGGGGGCAATGGCTGGGCCCTCATAATCTCTGGTGGTCCGGCTTGGCATGTCCAGCTCTAACAGCACGATGTTTTCTGCCTGCAGAAGCAACAGCATCTAGGTTGGCCTCAATCAGACACAGAACACACGGAACCTGTATCTTCTCCCAGAACAGAACTGCAAAGTGCTTGCTACTCAGAGTCTACCAAAAGCCTATCGAGAAATGATGCAGTTTTATGATTTTTTTCCTTGGTGGGATTACAGACGACTCTTACTTTTCTTGTACGTTTTTCTGTATTTTCCTTTTTTAAAAAACAGTGAGCACATAATATACTCGAAGGGAAACAATCAAGTGAGAATGATAAATGAAGTAAAACCCATTTACTGCAGACAATACAGAAAGGAATGAAGAAAATAGCAGTCAACCATTTCACCATCGACAGCAGCCCTGATGAGCATTTTGGTTGTAGAGGGGAGGGGGCCGATCTGCTGTCTGTATGTGTAGGGTGTACATGGCAATATACTTTGTAACCACATTTGAAAAATCAGAATGGGCCCTGCCTCACAACTGGCCTTGGAGATTGATGCCTTTACTTGGTATCCTGTTGCAGAGCCTTGTAGCTCCTACACACTAAGGCAAGCGTGTGGAGGGAAGAACACCATGGTTACCATGCCCCACTTCTCCTTACCTCCTCCCAGTCAGTGGAATTGAAGCCTCAGTGCTCTAGAGCGGGCAAGAGGAGCCACTGCAAGGAGGAGGTGGGGAGAGGGAACAGCTCCGTTTATCTATTGATACTGTGTACAATTTCCCTTGATGATGTGGACCCATTGCCAAAAACATCTGAGAGCCACTGTTTTAAATTCCACCTCTGGATCAGGTTCCAAAACCAAACCTATTGCTGACTCATAGTGACCCTATAGGACAGGTTTCCAAGGCTGTAATCTTTCTCCCTCAGAGCAGCTGGTGGGTTCAAACAGTCGACCTTTTGGTTAGCGGCCAAGTACTTAATCACTGTGCCACCAGGGTTAGCCCTCAGGAAATCCACTTATTTAATTTGTGGCTTTAACATCAGGTTTTTGGCTTAACATACAAAATAACCAATGAAATATACACCTTCTGAAACTGCTAGAAAAATGCTACCCAGGCTTCTGATACACCCCTTGTCTTCCCCCATATAAAACCTACCTAATGTATCTTTTTGCTTTGGCTTTCTTTCTTCTAAATAACTTAATGACAGGAAGAGCAGCACCTGCAGAGCTAATTAATCCTGATCTTCTTTTTGGCTCTGGTTGCCAAGGAAGAGTCAAAAACATTTTTAAAAATTGAAGTGAAAATCTTTCATTATAAAAGTAATACAGGTTCCCTGTGGGCTTGGGACCAAGGCTGCAGAGAATATCAAGCTCAACTGGCATAACAAACTATACAAAAACATTCTACATCCTACTTCAGTGACTAGCGACTGGGGTCTTAAAAGCTTGCAAGCAGCCGTCTAGATGCAACAATGGGTCTCTCCTTGTTCAGAGAAAAGAAGAATGAAGAAAACCAAAGACCCATGGAAACAAGTAGTTCAAGGGACTAGCAGACCATATGAACCTCAGCTTATATGACCACCAGACAAGAAGAACTAGATGGTGCCCGGCTACCGCTGTCAACCACTTGGAAAGGGATCAGTGCAGGAGATCCTGGATAAAGTGGGAGAATAATGTGGAACAAAACTCGTAAACAAAAAGACCAGGTTTACTGGTCCGACAGAGCCTGGCGAGACCCCTGAGACTATGGCCCCTTATTACCCTTTTGGTCTGAAATTGAACTCATTCCCATGGTTTCCAGCCAAATAAGACAGGCATATGGGGTGAACATTTACATCAGGTAGATACACTCCTTAGAGCGATCCATCATGGGACAACAGAAAGGCTGTATTTGCACAGTGAGATAGCTCAGGGGACAGGAATACATAGGGTAGAAGGACACAGGGAAGAGGTAACTAGAGGGAGGAAGTAGGAAGAGAGCTGTTACATTGTGGGGAACTGCAGTCAATGTCATGAAGCAAAATGTGTAAGAACTGCATGGAAAACGAATTTGCTCTGTCACCCAAATCACAATGAACATTAAAAAGAAAAACAACAACAACAACAAATACAGGCTTCTTGTTGATAATATAAAATACAGAGAAGTGAAAAGAAGAAAATTTAAAGTGAGTGTATTTCCACCAGCCAGAGATAACTAGTTCACACTGATAAATTTTTTTACCAGATTTTTCAATTCCTATATACGCATCTGGTACAAATTATTTTACAATTTGCTTTTTCTACTTAAGAATATGTTGTGTCTCCTGGATCTTCTACTGACCAGCTCCCTGGACCTTTCAGCAACAGGACAGACGGCAGAGACTGCACAGGAGGGTTCAATGAGATAAAGCTGCCACCTGCTGAGCACAGTGCCTGCTACCCAGTAAGTGCCTATGAAGGGAAGCACCTATAGCATTTCTACTGTAAAATACCGTGGTGTCATTAAATAGTTCTCAACTGTGTCACTTTCAATAGTTACAGAGTCTGACGCAAAGTGGAAACATTGTACTTCTTTAACATGTTTCCATCTCCCATCATTGAACCAGCTGTGGACAAGTCGATTCTCACTTGTGGGGACCCCATGTGTGTCAGGGTAGGACTGTGCTCTGCAGGAGTTTTAGAAGTAGACAACCAGTGATGGACCCTGAGACCAGAAGAACTAGATGGTGCCTGGTTACCAATGCCAACCACTCAGAAAGGGATCAAAACTGGAGATGCTTAGTGATTGGGATCTTAAAAGCTTACAAGTGGTCATCTGGATGCAATGATGGGTCTCTCCTCATCCAGAGCAAAGAAGAATGAAGAAAACCAAAGGCACATGGAAACAATTAGTCCAAGCGACTGGTAGGTATACCATGCAATCCTCAGCATATACGACTACAAGGCCAGAAGAACTAGATGGTGCCCAGCTACCACTGTCAACCACTTGGAGGAGGATCTATGTAGGAGATCCTGGATAGAATGGGAGAACAATATGGAATAAAACTCAAACTCATTGAAAAAAAAATAAAATAAAAAAAGGAGCAGGTTTGCTGGTCTGATAGAGCCTGGTGGAACCACTGAGACTATGGCCTCTAGCTGCCCTTTGGGTCTGAACCGAACCCATTCCTGTGGCTTCCAGCCAAACAAAAGACAGGCTTATGAACTGAACATTTACATTAGGTGGATATACTCCTTGGAGAGATCAATCATTGGAAAACAGAAGGGCTGTGTATGCACAGGGAGGCAGCTCAGGGGGCAGAGTACACGGGAGGGAAGGACACAGGGAAGAGGTAACTAAGGGGAGGAAGTGGGAGGAGAGCTGTTGCACTGTGGGAAATTGCAATCAATGTCATGAGATAAAGTGTATGTGAGCTGCTGTATGGAAAGTGAATTTGCTCTGTAAACTTTCACTCAAATCACAATAAAAATGAAAAGCAAAACAAACAAACAAAAAACTGGAGTTCCTGGATAGAGTGGGAGGAAAAATGTGGAACAAAATTCAAAAACATAAAAATGACCAGAATTACTGGTTGGATAGAGTCTGGTGGAACCCCCAAGACTATAGCCAGCCCCAGGTTACCCTTTGGGCCTAGAATTGTACTCACTTCCATGGATTGGCTTTCAGCCCAAACAGGATAAAGACCTACATGAAGACCACCTACCCCAGGGTGATACACCCACCTACTCTAAGGAGGTACACGCCTTAAAGCAATCAGCCATGGGACACCAGAGGGGCAGTATTCACACAGAGGAAAAGCTACACAGACAGGAGTGTAGAGTTAAGAAGGGCACAGGGCGTTTGTTATGGCCAGGGATGGTAATCAGGATGTGAGATTAAATGTACACGAACTGTTAAATGTAAAACAAATTTTGCTCTGTAAATTTGCACTCAAAGCACAATAAAATTAAAAAAAAAAAAAAAAGGCAGATAGTCAGGTCTTTTCCTGAGGCACTTCAGAGTGGATTCGAACCCCCAAACCTTCCAGGCAGTAGTCCAGCTCATGAACTGTTCGCACTCCTCTCCTGTCACTCTTGTTGTTAGTTGTCATCTAGTTGATTCTGACTCGTAGTGACCCCATATGTGCAAAGTAGAACTGTTCCATAGGGTTTGCAGGGCCGTGATGTTTTGGAAGCAGATGGCCAGGGCTGTCTTCCAAGGCTCTCTGGATGGATTCAAACCACCAGCCTTTCAGCTAGTTGTTAAGCACTTTACCATCTGCACCACCCAGGAACTTCTCTTGTCACCAGACATCCACATTCTTTCTAGTCTCTCCACAGAGCCATTTTGAAGCTTACTGTTATTACCGGCTATTATGGACAGTATGTTTGGACTTCTCTTCCTTCCCTGGTCCTGGTTTTCTAAATATCATTCTATTTTACGTTTTTACTTATTCATTTTTTCCATTATAAACATCTTCAACTACCTCTAGAAAGAGACAAGGTACACAAATTCTGTGACTTTGCAGAATAGTCCCTAAATGTTTATATAAATCTAAACTCCAAAACAGAGAGGAGAAAAACCCACGAAGAATCTTCTCACCCTGTATCGGGCCTCAGGGCGAATCATCATGGACATTCTTGCGTGCTGGCTCAACGGCCTCTTGTATCCCACAGCTGAGACTGGCCGCTTCATCATCTGCTGACTCCTGAAAAAGGACGGCAGTGGTTAAAGCCCTGGCTGGAGCGTGGTCCACAAGCCCCACATCGGTCCTGTTGAGCTAGCACTCGGGAGATTCTGAGCCTGCTTCAGACAGAACTAAAAGCAAGTAATTCCCTGGACAGGCTGACATGTAAACAGGACAAGAGCTGCTTCTCTTGTATTTAGTGATTGAATGGCTTTCTGATTCAAATGTGAGTGTCAGGCATCTTTTAAACTAGAAGGCAGCGTAGTCATCATCCAGCTCTGAGAAAGTAGACCCTAGGTATGGCTGTCAACACTCCCGATTCCTGCATCCTTGGCAGAGATCTCCCATCTTTCCAGCAGGACCTGAGAATTCTCCACACTGACTGAATCAGACTAGTACTGACACACAAGATGACACCTACATGCTGCTGCTCATCTGGCCTAGCACCTTTCATTGGACAGCTGGGGAAGCTGAAATGCAGGAACTTGGGAAATGTCTTTGGTTCACCAATTCCTAACACCACACTCATTACCAGACTTTTACTTTGTTGACCTACACAGCTATAAAGCTCAGAAATGCAACTGGCTCCGAGTTTAAATGACTCAAACTGTGCTCTTCCCACATCCCTCTGGCCAAGTCTAGCTTATCAATGGCCTTTCACTCCTCCCAAGCACGCCCTCCACCTTTTTTTTTTTTTTTTCCCTGAGCCTTTTTACTTAAAGTCAATAGTGACTTACTCCAGTCTGGTTATAGGATGTAATTTCCAATGATCTTCCTCTTCATCAAAGAAGGATCTATTCATAATTTTATTTTTTTCTTCCAGAGGGATAAAGTTTTCTATAATAAGATGCCTGTAAGAACACACATACATAGATGAATACAGATGGAAAAAGTGGCTTAATTACTCAACATTGGCTATCTGGTCCCATGAATAGTTAAGTAATTAGATAACTCTCAAATCATCCAGCAAACATGTACTGAGCAGGTACTAGGGGTCTAATATCATACCAAAAGCTGGAATTCAAACATGCATGATACTCGTTCCCTGCCTGAGACTGAAGGGACAAAATGTAGTACTCTTAGGTATGACAAATGTTGACAGTGATCTGTCCTGGGAATATGGGACCTGTAGCTTAAGGATGTGAAAGGGGTGATGCCTGAGCTATACTGAACACCTGCTAATCCAAGTATCTTTTTTTTTTTATTTTATTGTGATTTGGGCAAAAGTTTACAGAGCAAATTCACTTTCCTTACAGCAGCTCATATACACTTTCTTTCATGACATGCAAGTGTCCTTTGGAGGACCACTGGTGCTGCTAACCCAGGTCATGAACTTTGCAAACACTGAAAACAGGTCAGAAATTAAACTGCCCTACTCCAACTTCATGGACTGTTGTCCAAGCTGGAAAACTTCATTTTCTAACCCACGAGGAGAAGAGCAGGCCCCAATGGATACCAGTCCTTAGAGCACTGAGGGCGAGACGATTTCTGAGAAGACACCTGAGACGAGCCTGGGGAACCCGACCGGCAGTGAGACAGGAACCCGCTGGGCTGCACCTCTGCGTGGTGACCATGTTCTGCCACATGTCTGCCTTCACTCTTCAAAACCTCAGTACAGACCAACGCCAAAGGGCGCTGACGTGGGAAAGACACAAAACAAACACCACAGAGGTGGGGGATGCTATGAGAACAGGTCAGCTCACTGTTTATTCAAAAGACATGAGTACAAAATATAACAATAAAAATGACTTTCTTAGGGGAAAAAAACTTCTGGGAGATTAAATGTTCTCTTTATTTTGTGCTATTTAAGAAATTATTTCTCATATAGTTCTTTTTCTCGGTTACAAAAAGCCCTATTTACTCATTTTTAAAGTTGTGAAAAACACATTAATCTACAATAACTATTATTATTTTGTTCTGTTCCTTTGCGTCAGTGTGCACACCAAGAAAGAGGACTCACGAACATATTTAATTTTAAAGGCTCCTTTCCAAATCCAGAACTTTGTCATTAAAAGATCCCCTTTGAAAGGTATTCTTCAAAGAATTCCAGCTAATGATATGGAAGGACTGGCATAGAAAAATGCCTTTCACCCCTAATGAAATAATGGATCTAGACAAAGATCATGGTTCACTGAAACCATTAGCTCAGTGGTTCTCAAGCAAGGCTGCATATTAACATCACCTACAGAGTTTTGAAAAATATCTTGCCCGGACTTCAGGCTGTATTCAGTGACTCACTAGTGGCAACATCTGGAAGTTGTCAGCAATGCAAATTTCTCGGGCCCCATCCTAGACCTAAGTGGTGATATAATGGGTAAGGTATTTGGCTACTAACCAGAAGGTTGGCGGTTCAAACCCATTGGTTGTTCTGTGGGAAGACAATGAGGCAATCTACTTCTGTAAAGACTTACAGCCTTGGAAACCCACTGGGGGTTGCTATGGGTCAGAATCAACTCGATGGCAGCAGGTTTTATCCTAGACCTACCGAACCAGAGATTCTTTGGGGCTGGGGCCCGGCAATCTGTATTTTAACAAATCCTTTAGGTAATTCTGATGTTTACAAAAGTTTGAGGACCACTGTCCTAGACCAATTCAATCCATCTCTGGGATGGAGCCCAGGCATCACTATTTTTTAAAGCTCATCAGATGATTTCAGTGTGTAGCCGAGGTTGAGAACTAGTGCTTCAGAGCTTTCAGTTGACAGAAATAAAGGGGATACAGACACAAGTGAAGGAACACCATGAGTAAACCAACCCAGCAACCCAGAATGTGAGGCATTTCAACAGGCCACCTGACATAGTTTATTCAACAAATCATCTATGAAAAATATTTAAACAGGGATAAGGAATTCCTCCAGATCAAAATAAGCTTAGGAAATGTAACACTGCTTTTGTTACAAGTCATCAAATCAATTCCAACTCACAGCAACCCATGTGACAGAGTAGAACTGCCCCATTGGATTTACTTGGCCGTAATCTTTACAGAAGCAGGTCACCAGGTCTTTCTCCTGTGAAGCCACTGGGGAGGTTCAAACCCCCAGCTGTTTGGTTACCAGCCAAGTGCTTGACCACTGTGCCACGAGGGCTCCTTAAGACACATAATAAGCAGATGCAAGGTATGGTCCTCATTTAGATCCTAATACTAACAAACTAAGAAAATGGACTAAACCAAAAACTAAACCCACTGCCAGTGAGTCAATTCCAACTCACAGGGACCCTATACAACAGAGTAGAACTGCCTCATAGGGTTTCCACGACTGTAAATTTTTGCAGAAGCAGACTGCCACATCTTTGTCTGTGAAACAGCTGGGGGGTTCATATCACTGACCTTTCGGTTAGCAGCTGAATGCTTTGACCACTGTGCCACCAGGGCTCCTTGTTAACATAATTCCCCAAATGGTTGCAGTGTAGTAAATTACTTAGTGTGGCTTTTCTAGCCTTAAGTCTTTGTAAACTCCAAGGTGGGATTTTCTATGAGCAACTGAGGAGCTCCTGATTGCTGAAGTTGTCCACCTGGAGTATTTCTGTTGGGAGTGGCTCAAAACAATGTTCTGGGAGGTGCCCACTCTCTCTCAGGTGCTTAGAGTTCTGATGCTATGATTGGCTAGTCTGACCACCTTGCTGGGCTCAAAAGGAGGCCTCCTAGAGGCAGAACTCTCTCTGACTGCTGGTTGAGGAAGACGTGCTGCCGAAAGAGACACGCGCCCCTGAAAGAGACATGTGCTGCTGGGAAAGAGACGAAAGAGACACGCATTGCTGAGTGAGACACCGAGGGACCAGCACTGCTGGGAAAGAGACTGTGAGAGACTGTTGGCTGAGGGATGGTGGGCTGGAGAGAGAGACTGAGCGTTCTTCCTGAACTTGAGTTGTAGCCTGGTGCTTCCCTAATAAACACCATAATCCGTGAGTTCTGTGTGGCCACTGCAGCGAATTATCAAACCCAGGAGAGAGGTGGTGGTGTTTTGGGAGGAACGGTTGGAGAAAGGGATGGAGGGAGGCAGCATGTCTAGCCTTGCAGTAATAGGCCTTGGGTTACTGCTGGTAATCCTGTCTTCCTCTTGTAGGGTTAGAGGAGGTCAGAAGATGTGGCCTCCTCACCGTTCAAGCAATGGTTCTATAGATCCAACACAATTCCTATCAAATCCCCAGTTGGTCTTTTGCAGAAATTGATAAAACTAATCTTAAAATGCAAGAGACCCCAAAAAGTCAAGATAATCTTGAAGAACAAAACTGGAGCACTGATACTTTCTGATTCTAAAATTTACGGCAAAGCTGTAAGACAGTGTAGTATTGGCCTAAGGACAGACCAGTGGAATACTACTGAGAATCCAAAAACCTTTATATTTACGGTCAACTGATTTTCAACGAGAGTGTCAAGATAATGAAATGGGGAAAGAATAATCTTTTCAACAAACAGTGCTAGGACAATTGGATATCCAAGTGTAAAAGGATGCAGCTGAACCCCTACTTCATGCCATTCACAAAAATTAACTCAAAATGGATCACAGATCTAAATGTAAGACCTAAAACTGTAAAACTCAAAGACACAAAGGAATTGAAAAGATATGCCCACAAAACAACAAATGTTCATAGCAGCACTATTCACAATAACCAAAAAGTGGAAACAACTCTGGTGAACAGATAAATAAAACGTGGTTTATTTTATCATATCCACACAACTAAATATCACTGAGCCATAAAAAGAAATGAAGTAGTGCTACATTCTACAACATGGAGGATTCTTGAACACGGTATGCTAAGTGAAAGAAGCCAATCACGAAAGACCACACATTATCCGATCCCATTATATGAAATGTCCAGAATAGGCAAATTCATAGAAACAGAAAGCAGATTAGTGGTTACTTAGGGCTCAGAGAGGAGAAAAAGAGGAGTCACTGCTACTTGGAACAGGATTTCTTTTAGAGGAGATGAAAATGTTCTAAAACTAGACTGTGGCGATGGTTGCCTGTGAGCATATTTAAAAAACACTGAATTGTGTACTTTAAATAGCTGAATGGTATGGCATGTGAATTATAGCTCAACAAAGCCTTTCAAAAATTAGCACAGGGTCATGTAACTACTAAGTATGTAGGAGTGAGATAACAGGAGGTAGGATTTGCTTTAAAATACTTGTATAAAAAATAGATGACAAAAGCATATTAATTATTAAGCCTGGGTGATGGCTATTATTGTATCATTCAGAAAATTTTCATAATAAAAAGTTGAAAAAAGATAAGCTCTTCTTGGGCAGTGGTTGCATAGGGAGACGACAGCTCAGGGGGCAGGAGTGCATGGGAGGGAAGGACACAGGGAAGCGGTAACTATGGGGAGGAAGTGGGAGGAGAGCTGTTGCATTGTGGGAAATTGCAGTCAATGTCAGGAAACAAAATGTGTATGAACTGCTGTATGGAAAATGAATTTGCTCTGTAAGCTTTCACCCAAATCACAATTAAAAAAAAAAAAAAAAAGATAAGCTCTTCTCAATAGTTCTCAATAGAAGCCTTTAAAAGCTTCAAGAAGGTGGGATGAAGGGCAGTTGGAGATCATGTGGTCAAGCTGTTAATGGATGGGACCTAGAGGTGGAAAGTGACTTTATCAGGAATAAACAGCACACAGACACGTGGCAGGAAATGAGCTAGAGAGGCAGGCAGGGACCTCATCCTCAGGGGTGTGCTTCCTACTTAACGAACAAGACCACCAACCCAGCAGGGGCTTGGGGAAGGCCTGGCGCTTACTTGAGCTTCAGCTCCCTGGTGAGCTCATTCTGGGTCTGCTCCAGCTCCTGGCGCTCCTTGATGTGTTCTTCTTGGAGGTCGTGGATCTCGGCCTTGACTGCCTGCAGCTTGGAGAAGAGCTGGAACCAAGGGGAGAGGTAAGTGAGGAGGGCGTCCATGCAGAGAGCAGAGTTCTTTTCCCCTAGTCTCCAGGAACCTCTGCATGGTCTTGTGGCTTTCATACCTTTTTGAGTTTTTTGGTCTTGATGTCCACCTCCTGCTGCAATGAGCTATACGTCTCTTTCAGCTCCAAGGTCTCTTCATCTTGACTCTCCATCTGTTGCTGGATTTCTCTTTCCCGACGTTTCTGAACAACAACACACAGTTCATTAGTTTGCCCCGGGGAGCAGATCTATAGGAGGAGGGCTCAGTGCTTCGGGTCGGAGTGTCAGACCTGAAGGACGCCAATGTAGGAGAGATTCGCACTCCAGAATTAACTCACCTCCCCTCTGTCCCCCAAAAGAATGAAAGGTTACCTGCTCCGCAATTTCCTGCCGTTTTTGCTCCAAGATTTTCTGCTGTTCGTTCGTATGGTCCACTATATTCTTTCCCCCAACAAGGAGCTTGCTCTCCATGGCCTGAGTGAGGAACAAAGTAGAGACTATCTCGTGAATGGTCCCCTCAAGAACGCATTTCACAGGGAAGCTTCTGAAGGCAGAGAGCCCAGGACTGTGCCAACGGCTATGCTCAGCCACCCCCATCACACTTTTCCTATCGCTGGGGGTGCTCCTGGGGCTGGCTTCAGGGGGGCTTCACCTTGCTAACAGTGAAAATACAGTTTTCTCCATACATACGTAAACCTCAGCTCTTTAAAAACATTTGGGGAACATGCAGAAACCGTTCAATTGGTGTACGTCCTGCTGTGTATATTTTCAACAACAAAAATAAAATCAATTATATTTAAAAAAGAGAAAAAACTGGGGAGGGGTTTGTTTGTACAAAATGTCTACCCCACTTAAAGCACACGTACCTACTATGTGCTAGGCACTAGGGATGCAACTGTGAATACAAATCACAAAGCTTACAGTCCACTGAGGGGCACAGACTCTTAGCAAATGGGGACAGCTGCTAAGGGCATATCTAGGGTAAGGGCCTATGATAAGGGCAGTCCAGGGTAATTAACAGGAGAAGCACTGGAGGAAGAGAGTTCGGACTCTGGGAGGGAGTCAGGGAAAGCATCCTGTCTGCAGGGACATCTGCACACAGAGTTGAAATAAAAACAGGAACTGGCTAAGGAAAAAAAAATGTTTTTGAGCATGTAGGACAGGAGGGAGTGGTGATACATGAAGCTGGCAAAACACGCAGAGCGCAGTTAAAAGCTCTCAGAAACGCTGTTCAGGGAAACAAATTTCATCCCGAGTTCCTCAGGAACCACTGATGTGTTCTTGGAGCATGTGGGTACACAATTGGATTGTATCGTAGAAATGTTAGTGCCCTGCAACAGAATGGGAAGATGGGCTGAAGAGGGCAGGCTGGATGACAGGAGACCAGACAGGAGGCTGGCGGGGGCAGGGGGCTAGGTTTGGCTGGGGCACTGGCTGGGGGCAACAAAGTGGATGGTTCCAAGAGACCCAGGTGAGGTAGGATTCAGAGGCTAGTGTGGATCGGACTGTGTCCTCCAAATCCTAACCCCTAGCCCTGTGGGTGTAATCCCATCTGGGACCAGGGATTTCTTTGTTATGTTAATGAGACCATGCCAGTGCAGGTGCATTTTAAACCAACCACTTCTGAGATATAAAAAGAGCAGATTAGGCACAGGAAAGGAGTCCTGGGGGTGCAAGGGTTAAGCTCTTGCTGTTAATGGTAAGGTTGGTGGTTCCAACCCACCCAGCAGCGCCACAGGACGAAGACCTGGCCCGATCTGCTTCTATAAAGATTACGGCAGGAAAACCCTCTGAGGTAGCTCTACAGCGCCCCACGGGGTTGCGCTGAGTAAAGCTGACTTGATGGCACCTAACAACAGGCGCAGAAGCAAAGAGCCACAGACGGCAGCAGACAGACGCCACGCCACATGAAGACTGCCAAGGAGCCCAGGAACAGAAGCTGAAGAGAGGCAAAGACCTTCCCCAGAGACACACACAGAGCGAGAGAGTGAGAGAGAGCCTTCCCCTAGAGCTGGTGCCCTGGAATTCCTGCCTCCCGAATTGTGAGAGACTAAATCTGTTTGTTAATAAAGCAGCACTAGAGAACTAAGACAGAGGCCTTGTGCATTGACTGGACCATAGGGAGGGGCAGCTAGCATGGAAAACTCCTAGGGTTCCGGCTTCACTGAGCAAAAGAAGGAACAGGCTCTGCGTGTCCACAGGCTATGGGATCTGGATGTTAGGACACAGCTCTGGGCTAGACTGAGGGCCTTCAGCTTTTAAAGCTGAAGGTCATGGGAATGATTTGCACCTGAAAAACATGGAACGCAAAAAACTCTACCATCTTGCTTTCAAGTAACTTATCAACCACAGTTCTGCTGCCATCTTTCAGCGAGCCCTTTCAGTCTGCCTCCTCTTCTTTCAAAGCACAGGGGCTGGACGAGATTACTAAGCCTCCCGCTCTCTCTAGCTCTAGAATTCTTTCGTGATTTTACAGCATCCAGGGTTTGAGAAAGACAGAAGTAATGTCATCTCTCCCCACAGACTTCATCTAACAAGTCGGTGACCTTGAGGCAGTGCTGAGGCTTCCTGCATCCAGCCCCTAAGAGTTCTCCAGACACCCCAGACACCCCAGGTTGTTTAGAGTCTGGGTGTTCCTGACCTTCAATTCCAGATGTGATCCTAAATAGCAGCACACAAACCGAATGCGGGCATACCGAGTTATACCTCAAATACAGAAGTGAAGGGGGACGTGCCATTTAACATAATGGAATTCCATAATAAGACCCTTCCTGGAGCAAAGTTACCCCCTACCTGTGTTGTGTATGACTGGACTTTCACATGGGGTCTAGGGGATTTTAGTCTTTGAAGGGACTTTCAAGGCTTTAAGGCCTTTGCCTCTGAACTAAAATAGTACCTAGCTCTGTATGAGGGCTACTGCGAGGCCACCAAGAAACACGGTATAGCTTTATGGAGGGAGGGAAGGGGAGGCGAGGTGAGGAGATCCTTGCTATTTATAAGTGAATAAACATGGATATATTAGAGAGTAGAAATAAGTTTGCATAAATTCAGTAAGACAGAATCCAACACTTCAAAGGAATTCTGAGCTGTGATCAGCCAGTGGCCAAGGCAGTACTCTCAGACCTCCAGGGCCACCTTTTCACTCTCCTCTGCCATTAAAGACTTATAGGGCCCAGAGGCCAGCCATGTGATGGAATGGGACTCTGCTACCAGAAATAAAACCCAAAACAATGGGAGCTCCACACGCCAGAACACTGCTCAGCCATGAGGGAAAATGAGGCAGACTCAATGAAATATACTGGCACACAGGGCTGGGGGGGATGCTTGACTACAAAGAAGCAGGAGGAAATATTTCAGGGTGACAAAACTGTTCTCCATCTTGTGTGACTAGGGCAATGCAACGTAAAACCACAATGAATACCATTTTATGCCCCCCAAGTATAAAAAAATTAAAGTCTGATCATCATAAGTGTTGCCATGCATTAGGAGCAACCACAGCTCACACCCTGCTGGTAGAAGCTTCAATTCACACAACCGTTACAGAAAAGTATTTATCATTATCCAGTAAAGCTGAAAACACACATACCCTAGGACCGAATAATGCCCGGTAAGATCTTAGACACACACACACACAGTCTCCAAGAGCCAAGAACATTAATATACATAGTCAAAAATACAAACAACTCAAACCAACAGGAGTACAGAATACCACAGAATACTCAGACCAGTGCTAATGAATAAACCACAATCAATATAGATAACTCTCATACACTTAATATGGAACAAATAAAAGCAAATTTCAGCAGTGGGGTTCCATTTATATATAGGTAAAAAGAAGTCTGTGAATTTAAGCAATCTTTTATTTAGAGATGTTTACGTATATGGTAAAACCATGAAGGAAAAGCCAGGAAACGACCACCACCAGATTTAGGATAATGGCTACCTCTGTGGGAAAGGAACATAAGGAGCTTCTAAAGGTATGGGTGCTGCTCTATGTCTTACACTGGGTGATAGGTGCATAGGTGTTCGTTTTATGGCTGTTTTTATACCTTGCACATATGCAATAATTATGTTTATTATGAATTCTTAATATATTTTTAAATTTTGGGGAAAAAATCACCGAAAGAGCACAGGGCCCAGGAAGGGCACGGCACCTTGATTTTTGCGCCCAGCATCTCGGCAGCGTCCTTTTCCCGCCGCAGATCCTCCATCTTCTTCTCCTTCTCCTTTAGCAGTCGCATCTTCTCCTCTGCAACCAAGCTGTGGTCCTCTACAATGGCCCGCTTCTCAATCTCCAGTTTTTCTTGCTGTTCCCGCCAATAATCATCCTTATCGTCCCCTTCCTCCTCACCCTCTTCTCCCTCCTCCTCCTCCTCCTCCCCGCCCCCGCCACTGCCACCACCTTCCCTCCGCTTCTCCCGCCTCTTCCTTCTGCCAATGGACCGCTTCTCCAGCTGGGCCTTGAGCCGAGCAATCTCTTCCTGAAATTCTCGAAGAAGGGCATCTTTGGGGTCCTCGTTGACCCTTGGCTTGTTCTTAATGTTTTTGGCACGGTTGGCATATCTCAGCGTGGTCAGAGTCTCCTCTACATTGTAAGAGGCGGGCCCCACATTGGCCACCATCACAGTTTTAGCATTACCACCGAGGGAATCCTGGAGAAGCCTGGTAAGCTTTGAGTCCCGGTATGGAATGTGGGTGCTTTTGCCATCCACCAGGGCAGAGATGACATTACCCAAGGCTGAAAGGGAGAGGTTGATCTTGGTCGCTTCCTTCAATCTTTCCCCTTGAGCACCGGTCTTGGCTTGCCGTTCACTGCCAGCAAGATCTACAAGGTTCAATTTCCCCACACGGATATGGTTTTCACCATCAAGGCCCACCTCACTGCACTCGACTGTGATAACAAAAATTGCATGAGAACGCGAACTGTGCTCATTCATATTGGTAGCACCGACTGAACGGTTCTGATTCCCCACGTTCATCACGTGCTCTATCTCCTTCACACTCTTGGTGACAAAGGAAGACAGGTCTTTCACATACACGCCAGTGTCCGGTCTCTCTTTGAGCTCAAGCCTTTTGGTCTGATCCTTTGAGAGCAGATCTCGGATCTCCTCCTGGTAGATCTCTAAATATGAAGCCCTGACCAGGTACTGTTGATTCTGGGATCGAGAAATGTGGGTGAAGATGTGGTCAAACGAGTTAGGGATAACCCCTCTCTTTTCAGGGTCACCACGAACTCCTTCCATTGTGTAGGTTTTCCCAGTACCAGTTTGTCCATAGGCAAAAATTGTCCCATTGAAACCCTGCAGGACAGAGTCCACAAGTGGTCGGAATGTCTCATCATAGAGTTCAAATTGCTTGGCGTTCCAGTCATAGACTGCATCAAAGGTGAAGGTCTTAGGCATTTCATGGGCCACTCCTTTGGGGTTCTTCACAGACACCTGCCCCAGCTTCACATCCACATCCACCACCTTGTCATAGGCAGCAGCCTTTTCCTTGCCATTCATGGGCCGACAGCGAACCACCACCCTCACAGACTCTGAGCTTTTCAACTTTGACATGATGAACTCTGAGCGGGTCAGCCGTGATGACTATGAATCTAAAATGTCTCACGATGCTAAGGTCCTAGAAAAGAGCAGAAGTAGGTAAGTATAACTGTCATTAGGGGTGCTTGGCAGCAGCTGACACATCCAACTCATCTTCATCTCACTAACTTTCTGACAGCTATATTTAATAGCTTTACTACATTGTGTATTTATTTCCTCATGGGTCTGTGTCCAGCTTCAGGAGGAAAAGTAAAAACTCCACCAATGTGGTTAACTAGCCTACCCTCTCTTTAACCAATATTTTATCTAATAATACAGGCTGAATATACACAGAAGTATATGCAGATTTTAAAAAGAATGTAGTCTAAATGGGAGTTCTGGTGGCATAGTGCCTAAGGCACTTGACTGCTAACCAGAAGGCTGGCAGTTCAAACCCACAAACCACTCCTCAAAAGGAAAGTTGGGCAATCTACTTCCGTAGTGATACTGCCTCGGAAACCCAAGGAGGGGTCGCTATGAGTTGGATCCAACTTAACGGCAGTGAGTTTGATTTTTGGTTTGGGAGTCTAAATGGAATACTATACCAAGATATATTTTTAAGTGAAAAAAGTAGGTGAGGAACAATGTACAAAAAGGATATATGGATGTTATATGCTTGGTACACATACAATTTATGCTATTACAAGCATAAATGTCAGTGGTAACAATGGTAGGGAAACTATGGGCTTAGGGATCTTCGGGTTTAGAAAGAGACTTACTTTTCACTGTACACTCATTTTGTTCGTACTCTTTGAATTTCCTGTCTTGTGCTATTCGATTCTAAAATTATCACCAAAAAGTGGCTTGTACAAAATGTGTTCAAATAAAGGAGGATATGGTATAATGCATTACGTAAAAATGCATCAATTGCATTTATTCAAGCAATAAGTTTATCAAAGAAAGAGAAAACAAATATGGAAACAGGTGCTAAAGACTTAAAAAATAAAAAGGAGACAACTTCATTTACAGCCAGAAAACTCAGGAAGCAGAAGACAGGATGATTAAGTGAGGGTCTTTGGAAAGGGACAGGGATTCTTTCAAAAAATAGGAAATTTACATGGCTCATTGATTTCTTCGGTGACAGGTCTCTCTCCCTCACCCAGTTCCCTAGCTACCTAGTTCTCCCACCCATAGACTGTTTTTCCTGAGACAGTTTCCATATAGCAAGCAAATATGTATTAATACGCGCATCTTGACAGAGCTATAGCATGTTACACACAATCATACACAGCCCTGCTTTTTTTTCACAAAACAACGTACCTACAGTTTGTTCCCTCATTAAGTACAGAGTTACCTTATCCTTTATGACAGCAGTATAATATCCCACTGTAGGGATGCATCATAATTTACTTACCCACTTCCCTGTGGATGCACATAGGCGGTTTCTCATCTTTTGCTCTGAAAAATCTATGGGCAGGTATATTATACATGTAAGGATAAATTCCTACACGTGGAATTGCTGGATCAAAGGAAAGATGCATTTGAAATTTTAACAGACATTCACAATAGTACTATTAGTGATTATTTTTAGCTGTACAACCCATGAGGATGTTCCTTGCCAGCAAAAGGGTGGGACAGTGTGAAACAGTGACAGCCCACTCGCGCATCTATGCTCCAGATGCATAACTATATAGCGATCATTGAGCTTTCATATATTGTTCTGCTGCTAAACTACTGGAAACACGAAGTTACTTTACTCATTTGTTCTAGTTGTTTAGAATCTACTTCATGGCAACTTAACAACAACTAGTTGTTGCATGCAATGAAAGTGTGGTCTAGAAGGGGGAACAGAAGACCTCGAACCCTCTCTGAACCTGCTTTCTGTGGATGACTGTAAATCTAGGAGGCATTTACAAATGTTACTTTGTAAACGAATATAAAGCAGGATTAAGATTAATAACACAGATTCATCCAAAAATCGTCAAAGGGTAGTTCCAGAGATTGCAGGTGAGCCCTAACTTTAGGCAGTAAACATCACTAGAATAATATTTTCTAACAACAACATTATTGTTTGTAGTTATCATCCCTTTAAAAAAAAAAAAAAACTGATTCCAATCCAAATATCTAATTGATGTTCATTAAGAACTGAATTTCAAGCCATTTATAGAAAGCTGAGCAAAAAGCAGCCCTTTCGTTCATCACCTTCCAGATGCTGTTGGAATTTCTGCCAGGTGAGACAAAAGACCCAGATGTTAGAATGGCAGGTCTGTTTACAGCTCCACCTTTCTTTTCAAGGTGAATGCCTGCCCCCCCTACAGCCAGAGCCAATCCCCTTGCCCACCTCCTGTCCATTTCCGGAGTCTTGCCTGAGAAAGCTGGTCTAGAGATGAAACTACCACCTCAGTCCCTGAGCATCCTTGGTGGAGGCCTCTGCTACAGTGCCAGGCTGGGTCACACAAGACCCTAGACTTGAAGGAGTAAGAGACATGTGACAGAAGGGAGGCTGAGTCAGGGGACAGAGTCAACTGACTCTTCTGCACTGCATGCCCCTGAAGAGGCGCAGCTGCCCAACGTTTGCCCATCAAACAAGGCGGCCCAAGTCTGCAGCCAGATGACCCGACCTTGGTGTTCAGCTGCTTCTGTCCGCCATATATTCTGAAGTTCTCCAAAACAATAAAAACGAAGGGATGATAATGACCTACATTAATTCTTGAAAATCTTTAAAAAGAAAAATTCCCAATGCATGAGCCCCGCCAAGGAAATCTCGACTTTGAATACAGAGCACCATTTCTTTTCTGAACTGAACAGTCATGTATTATTGATGTATCATTTCAGGAAGACGGTCTAATTTAATTTCCTGCCACCAGACCTTAAAATCTTGCTCTGGGTCCTCCTCAAAGGACAGGGCTTTCTTGGAAGGAAGCCCTGATACTCTTTCTTTACTTTATTACATCCCTTATTCTTCTTTTAGCAGGTCTAATTACAGAGTGATATATCTTTAAAGGAACTCACAGCCTTGCCAGGAAAGAGAGAAGCACAGGCCAGCAGCTCATCACCTTCATCCTGAATACCTTTTCTGTTAAAACTTCTCATTCTGATGTTAACACTACCACGTGAGTGGCCATTATAAGTGAAAAATTGATGTTTCCCTCCACCTCATCACATCTGCTGCCGAAATCAACTGCGTACTTCCTACAGCAGCACTCAGACCGTTTTCCAAGTCTTTCGCGTTTGGATTCAAGCATCCTCACCTTTGCTACTAGCTGTATAGTTTTACTTCAAATTCTAATACTAAGTATGGGTTGGATTCTCAGTAATCGTTGGCTTCCTAGGATCACAGGACAAAGGTAGGAAAAGGGGCATTCTCTACCTGAAGTATTGATGTGGCCCACCTGGCGTTTTAAAACAAACAAAACCTCCAGAATTCCACTTCTCTGCACATGTCCTGATGAAAAACTTTCACATTTGTACAAGGAAACATGACAAGGATGCTTCTGGCAGCATAATTATAATAGAAGAAAAACTGGAAAAACTTAAACGCCCATGTATAAAACCAAACCAAGCACCCTGCCACTGAGTCGACACCTACTCACAGCGACCCTCGTTGGGTTTCCAAGATGGGAAATCTTTATGGAAGTAGATTATCCCATCTTCCTTCTACAGAGTGGCTGGTGGGTTTGAACCACCAACCTTCTGGTTATCAGTCAAATGCATTAGATATTGCACCACCAGAGCTCCTTAAATATCCATGTATAGGGGAACAGAAAAATAAAATATGGCATACTCATGTTACAGACAGTATACTATAGAGTAATTTAAAAATAATTAATTAGAGCAAGAGGTAACAAACTAAGGCCAACAGCCCCGTAGCCTGTTTTTGTAAATGAAGTTTCATTGGAACACAGCTATACCCAACTGTCTAAAACAACACATACTGGAAGTATATACAACAATTCATAAGACTGGCTGCCTGAGATGGAGGAGTGTGGGAACTGGGATGGAAAGGCTATTTCAACATTATTATTTATCACTAATCTTCTATCCTTTGTCTTAATAACAATTTAAAAAATCTGGGGAAGGAGGGCTGAAGCACCTAAAAGAAAATATTAACAACAGTCAATTGTGTTGTAGGAAATAAAGGTTTCCTATATTATTTTCTGAATCTTTTAAATTTCATATTAAAAAAACCACCACCAGGACTTCCAGTAAGATGGAGGAATAGGCAGACAGGTGACACAGACCCTCTTCAACAAAGAAAAGAAAAACCAATGGACAGAGATACAGAAGATAATCCTGGAGCCCTGAGCTTTGAAAGGAACTATACAGAAGTGAATTAGGCACCAACTAGTGGAAAAACCTGAACGAAAATAGTGAGTACAGGGATGGTCTGAGCTGCAGACTGTCAGCTACTCTGACAGGACCAACAGCCTGAATATTTCCAAGTGGTGTTGGGACCTGAGAATTGACCTAAAGATCATCCCTGGTCACCAAGGGCTGCAGGGACAACTGCGCTGGTGGCCTATGACTAGGAAGGGAAACAGCAAGAAGGGAAACAACCTGAGCTGTGGACTTTCTGCTGTCTGGAGGGCACAGCCATTTTGATTGTTTACATGCAGCAGCCATTTTGGATATTTAAGCAACCGAGGGTGCAGCCATTTTGAATCTGCACAAGTGGCAACCATTTTGGATTTTAAAGTGATAGCATTCTCATTCAGATTCCAGGGACCTAAGACTGGGCTCTATTTGCTAAGGTTGGCAGGGACACACAAGAGGCTGACAACAGGAAAGGAGACAGGAGGTGAGTGTACAAGTGCTGTCAACTAGCGAATAGAGGAGCACAGTACCCTGCTTGTGTAGATAACATACAAACAAAACAAAGAAAATGAAAATCGTGGGCAAGTCATTCTAACATACAATCACCAATTAAATATAAACAAAATGACAAAATAAATGAAAAATCAGAAATGATACAAAATCTACACACAGAAATCCAGAAGATTAATATTAAATTTTCAGAAATAGATAAGACACTGAATGGGCAAAGGAGCAGAACTAAATCAATGGAAGACAGAATTAGGGAGAGTGAAGGCAAATACCTGAAC